TTTAAAATGATCCCTGATGGAAAAACAACCCTTGTAAGCCTGGCTGGATTTTTTTATTTCTAGCAGATGCAGTGGGAGCCTAGCAGCTTTTCAGTAACTGAGCAAATGCAGCTTCTGCCTGGTTCCTTTGAAGAGCCCCATCTTCCCCCCTGTCATACAGAGCACATGCTATTGTGGACCCCACAAGCCTGAAAGGATTGGTCCATCCCAAGGGAGGGAGCGAGTGTGGCAAAGCAGGCAGTGCTATAGGAATAGAGTGAGGATGTGGAAAGCTGATGTTTGGCCTTCTCACCAGCAGGTTCTTCTAGGGCCATCATTACAGGGTGCAACCACAGGGCTCAAATCTTTATTGAGCGGTAAAACAATGGGTCTAGTTCCAGGAGGATTTCGTGGCTATAAGACACTAAATTCTGCACTTCCTCTCTTTTCTCTCCCTCCCGCCCTTTGTCTCAAGTGTCTGGGCTTTTTCCTTTCTACAGAGCAAATGGGCAGCTGGTTATTTCCTGAGGGAGGAACGTGTGAGTTGAATGGCAGCTTGCTGGCCAGAATGACTGACTGAGCACTCGGGGGCAACGGTGCATGAAGTAGGCAATGCAGCCCAGGGACGATGCTTTGCCCTTCTGTTTTTTCAAAGATATAATTTTTATAATTCCAACCACATACGGGAAGATTGCTGGGCGTGCTGGCCCACCTGTCTCAGGGCGGGTCAGGCATTCAGAGGCAGAAATAGATACTGAGCCATCCGGTTTAGGCAATTAGACTCTTCCTGTGTTTTCAACCACAGTAGGCATTTTAGTTGTGACGTAGAAGGAGGGGTAAAGACAAATGCGTTCCCCTTTCGAAAACACCTGTGCTTAAAAGAGCCTTCCTCTGGGAGGCATTTATTAAATGTATTTTTATTCATCCACTGCTCAGAGGCTTGCTTTGCTTCTGCCGGCGCACACGTCAACTCCATCCCGGAGCTGGGCGTTGGCCGCTTTGCGTGGCCCTGTTTTAGGTCCTTCGCTGAGAGTAATCCACCTCTCAGCCTACATAATGGCTGTCAACCCACATTACCTGTACCCCTCTATTCTATGGGTTTGTGCTGACAGTCCCACTGTACCTTCTGAGCAGCTCATCCTGAACCCCACTGGGTGCCTGGCTCTGTGCCGTCTCATTTCCTCTCTTTTCAGCAGTTGATTCTATTCTGAAAGGGCAGGAATTGCAAATGGGAAGCGGAGCTGCTCATTGGGAGGAGGGTAACGAAATGCCATTTGACTCATGAAGGTTCTTTGTCACTGTCCTCTCTCTAATGTAGACAATCAGTGGCTGCAGTGTGGTGGTCTGAGGTGAAAGCTGTTGTGTAAGGGGAGAGGAGCCGGAGAGGGAAATAGGAATGAGGAGGGGCTAGCATGAGAGCTGAGCTCTTTATTTTGTGTTACAGATCAGTTATCTTCCTTTCCCTGGAAATTACCCCCATGTTCCCCCTCTGCGTAATGAATACCCTTGCAGTAGCTCTTTGTGAGGGCTAAAATCCTTCCTGCCATGAGGGTTACTTAGCACTGAGACCTGGGCCAGGTTCTAGAGTGAGACACAGATCTGGAACAGTAATTCAGGTTTCCCTTCTGCCCAGTGAGGTGCCCTGGATTCATTCTCCTCTGCTTTCCTGTCCTAGTTTGTAAGTTGTGTAGAGTCACTTTTTGTTATTTTTGAACCTGTCTGTCCTGCTCAGGAACCTCATCTGTCATATGCAGGAGCAATCGCAAAAATTGATTTGTGGGACACGCATCTAACAGGCAGATCCGCTTGACAGATCACATAGCCATCATTTTCTGAATTTGCTTAAGAGTCAATCAGTGCTTTGATGCATATTTGGGTCATAAATAATCTGATGCAAATTAAATTTATTATTGTGACAGCTTTATTCAGATATCTATTATTTATTAGTTTCTGTTGTCCCTTTGTTTACTCCTTTGTGGAGCTGTGAAGTCAGCTTTTTACCTGTGATATAGCTCTCAGCTTGGTTCAGAAGAGAATTTTCCAACATCATGTTCCTCCAGGGATCCATGAGTAGCAAGGGGATTGTTATTTATTGGTGGGGAACTGGGAGATGTTTGGTGGGTTGGGAAGAGGATATTTGAATGCACATTGGATCTTGTCTTCTGCTTGTACGCAGATGTTAGAATTAGATGTTAGGGGTGTGATCCAGAGTTCATTACAGCCAATAGAAAAGAGTTGCCCAAGGTTATCCAGCAAGCCAGTGGCAGAGCTGGGAATACAATCCAGGTCTCATGAGTCCCAGTCTTCTGTGGGCTTTGGATCAGGCCCTAAATGCCCCAAAGGTGGCTTGATGAGGCTGTTCGGTACCTGAATCAAGTGAGATGCAGGGCTGAGGGTTTCTTTGGAAGCTTGCTTTAGTTTTTTCTATTTTGTTGTCTGAATAAAAATGGCAGACTCTCTGAATCTGGGATGAATGAATTACAGTGTGATTCCAAGGGAGAGGGTCACTCAACCTTGAACTGCAATGAGCACACTGATACTTTGTGGATTTGTCATCTTCTTCTGTTTCATTGTAAACCGATTTTCTCTCCCTAGAGATCCAAGTTCATTGTGGGCTCAAGCTTGCAAAGTGCTGACCACTGTCGGCCCCATCCAGCAAACACTTAGTCACTTGATTAGTGACTATTCAAATACTTAAATTATGCCCATGCTTAAGTGCCTTGCTGGATTGAGGTTAGCACCTTGCAGAGTCAAACCCTCTAAGCGGAGTTCAGTACAGGGCAAATCCTTCACTGAACGCACAGCTTGAGTAGCTACACTTGAGTAGCTAGACCTGAGTTTTATTCCCAGCTGTGGCCTGCTTGGTGACCTTGGGCAAACCATGACCCGCTCATGCTTCAGTTTCCCCATCTGTAAAATGGGGATAATGATACTGACTTCCCTTTGTAAAGCACTTTGAGATCTACTGGTGAAAAGAGCTTATTCCAGTAAAAATAGTACATTCCACTGGGAGTTCTGCTTGTGCAGGGACTGCCAAACTAGGCTCTATGTATCTAGTGTGAGCTTTTGTATATTGTCCATATAGCAAAGTGGTGGCTTGTCACTACAAATGAAATGGGAACATGGGTATAATCTTGCATTTACTTCTATTTCTTTTTTATCTAGTTTTTCTATCTTTGAATTACTCCTTCATTTTAAAAAACAGGAGTACTTGTGGCACCTTAGAGACTAACAAATTTATTAGAGCATATTGTTAGTCTCTAAGGTGCCACAAGTACTCCTGGTTTTTTTGCGGATACAGACTAACACGGCTGCTACTCTGAATCCTTCATTTTATTTACATACACGATACATGTTTGCGTTATGATGTTGCTTACTACAGGAAATATAAAAAGTTGAGATAAAATATAAAGTACCATTGTATGGATTGTAAAATATGGACATCGACTGACATACATGTATTTTTTTTTATTTGATGGTTCTGGAATTTTAGTATGTAAAAAGGTACACATATATCTTCTAAAACAGCATCCTATGGTCCAGCATTATACACATTGTTTAGGATATTATCTCCTATTACCATGAAAATCCCTTAATTACTTTGTTTATACACGCATTTCATTAGAAGGAGTACTTATCCTTTGCTCTACATGCTCCTCTTAGCATTTTAAAAATAAGAACGCTACAAATAAACAATGCCAGAAAACCCACCTTGCCTGCCAGCAGCCATATGATTTATAACCCTTAATACAAATTTCCAGTCTCTCTAATTTGCCACCGGAACCCACCCAGTTTCTGTCAGCTCAAGAAATACATGGGCCTTGCAGCATGCTCTGGATGTCAATAAACTAGGGTCTTTTACTGTGTTTCTCAACGACTGGTCCATGGACCAGCACTGGTCCATGAGGTCTCCCTGACATAGTTTAGGAAGGCAGCAAGCTGGTCCCTGGTATCCAAAAGGTTAAGAAACACTGTGTTAGAAGAATTGTACTGCTGTGCCTAAATGGATGTAAAAATCACTGTAGCTGCACAGTGCCAATCCCGAATGTAGACACATGCTGGTTGAAACCTTGCTTGTATAGATTTTAACATAAGTCTCTTTAATAGCCAAATTGATACAAGCGGTGTGTAAACTAGTTTAAGTGCACCTACATTAGGTGTTTGTATTGGTGTCCCTAGATCGAACATGGACAGACCCAAGTACTATTTTGGGGTGGAGGAATGAGTTCCCAAGCTGAGAAGTCCTTGCAGAGAATACTCTGCCAGCTGCCTCCTACCTTATATGAGTGGTACCTCAGCTGACAGTAACTGAGTCAGAATGGCATGTGGAGAAAGGCAATCTTTCAGATAAAGAAGTCCCACGCCATTTAGAGCCTTATAAGTCAAAACTATGCCCTGTAGTGGAATAGTTACTCACTGGTGTATATAATGCTGGGTCAGGCAAAAATTTAAAGAAAAGTGACTTGAGGTCCTGGTGGGTGTCCTGGAGGGTGGAGCCCTATGTTGAGCCACACAGCAGGTGCAGCTAGGGGAATGGTAGTGAAAACGTGTCTCACGCTGCCTTAAAAGGCTGCTTCTAAGGGTGAGTCTCCATGGGGTGTTTCACCCAGGTCCTCTGCTGAGAGAGTCAACAAGGGGGCCAGCATCTATACACTAGATCTGAATGCTCTCAAACCTTTGTGTCAGCTTCTTGTTGAGGTTTGAGCAGAGGCTCTTGATTTATCCCGTCCCTGTTTTGCCCATCCCTCAGTTGTAAGCTTGCAGCAGACTCTGAGGGGTGTTAATGTTGTGAAAAGTAACCCCAGTTCACTGGTCCGAAGTTTCTCTGGGAATGAGAAGTCTGTTTGCATATGGACACTGTGCTTTCCAGGCCTATCGGGTTGCCTAACTTGGTAAGCAGGGCTGCAGAACATCTAATTAGGCGGAACTACTCTCCAGAGGGCTTGGCTTGCAGAAAATTAGTTTTCATATTTTTTGCCTGATGTTTATTAAATGTCCTCCTGCTTTTCTCCTCTCTGCAGTTTTCATCTGTAGTTTCATGGTGGCAGCACCTATATTTGGTTACCTTGGCGACCGCTTCAATAGGAAGATCATTCTCAGCTGCGGGATCTTCTTCTGGTCAGCTATCACCTTTTCAAGCTCCTTCATCACTGAGCAGGTAAGATCTGCGTGGGGTCCGGGAATATAAGCAAAGGAATTCTGCAGAGTGTACTGAATATAACGGGATCCTGTTCCAAACTCCCCACTACAGTGTATATGGACATGAGATGCCCCGTAGATGCCACATAGGGTATTGTGTAATAAAGTATATAATGTTTATGGTCACATGTCTCTTTGAAAGTGAAGTGTGTTCCTCCCTGGTCCTGTGAATCACATAAACATCCTAGGGGAAGCACATATAGACACATGTTCAAATTGATGTGTAGGCTTTATTTTAAGGGAGAGTTTACAGAAATAAAAAAACTATCCATAATCAAATATTGGTTCATTTGCCCCCTCTTTGCACAAACAATGGCAAGTTATCATTAACTCGGCTTGAACAGATTATATAGAATGGCAAAATGCTGGGCAGATGGAGTTTAGACACAGATTTTGAATAACCACCCTGGCTCAGTTTCCCTGAAAGGCAGTGAAGGTGAATGATAGGATTTAGATTAGTACAGCGTCAGCTCCTTTCTCTATTAAATTATCTCTCTGGGGAATTGATGATAGGATCCTCCGGCTCACCTAATTTTGGAAAGTCAAAGATAGCTTTCGATACATTTCACAATGCTCCCTGTTTCAGCCTACAGTAAATGAGGCCATGTCAGTCTGTTTGTTTTCTTGCCTGTCAAGGATACTGCAAAACAACAAAGGCTTGGGAGTGCTTGAGAAAAGAACCCTCTCATTTAAATTATACCACAGAGGAAGCTTAATTGTTGCAGGTGGCAGCATTCCTGGAGAGATAAATCACAGCTAGGGGAGCCGCAGACGGATTTCCCTAGGGACCAGCCATTCATCCTCTCTGTTCAGCTGCATTCCAGAGGTTGCAGTGCTGTGGTCACACCCCGAGGATGACAGGCGTGCTGTGCCGTTTCTAATACAGCGGTTGCCACATCTCTGGAAGTGGTGGAAGTCACACCTGTGATTTGCTCACCTTAACATCCACTTGGAAAGGACGGCATTTCTAAGCCCCCATAAATCATAGGGCCAAGCATAGAAGCCTTTAGGGTAACGTCTACACTGCAAAGAACCCCCTCTTTCTTCCTCCTCCCCCTCACCCCCCGTGGCGCCACATCTCAGAGCCCAGACGGCTCAGTCTGCAGGGTTAAAAATAGCAGTGTAGGTGTCCCGCTCATGCTGGAGGCTAGGCTCCCAAGACCTTCGCGCTCTCTTCCCCTCCCCCCCCCCAACACACACACACACACACACACACACACACACAC